CTGTCACTGCAGGGGTTGGACTGGATGAGCTTCAAAGCTCCCTCCCAACCCAAACCACCCCATGGTTCACCCCAACACCAGCACAGGTTCCTGGCACACCCAGGTCTCTCTCACGCCGCCCCGTGCCTGTGCTCGGCTCTCACCTCCTCTTGCTCTTTGGGGGTCCCCGGACGAAGCACCAGTCCACACTGATGGGCTGTCCCATCAGCTCCTGCCCGTTCAGCCCCTCCATGGCCGCCTGCGCCTCTTTGTAGGTTTCATACTCCACCAGAGTGTATCCCTGAGGAGCAGGAGGGGGAGGGAGGCAGCGTGAGCCGTGGTGGAGCCGGGAAGCAGCCGGACACGGGAACAATCCCTCCCTGATCCCCCCTCCCGCCGCGGAGCCGGGGAAGGGGGAACACGAGTGGGTGTCACGTCCAGCTGCTGCCACGTGGTTGAGTTTAAACACCCCATGAGTCCAAAGGGAGGTGGTGAAGCCACCCTGAGCCACCCCCTCCTACCTTCAGGTAGCCCGTCCGTCTGTCCAGGTTCAGGTGGATGTTTTTTATCTCGCCGTACTCAGCAAATTTGTCGTGGATGTCTTCCTCTGTCGCCTCCTCGTGCACCCCGGTGACAAAGAGAATCCAGCCCTCCACCGCTGCGGTGTCACAGGGGACAGAGTTACACCCAGCTGTGGGGGCTTGGGGAAGGGGTGACCCCCAAAAGCACAGAGCCAGATGTGGGTGGGAAGGGGAGACACAGCCCTGGAGGCCAACGCTCTTGGGTTTCCCCAAGATAAATCATGGCAGGGTGGGGAAAAGCTTCATCCCAGCAAGGACTGAACCCTGATATGGAGGCAAAGCCGCCCCTATGTCCCCACCGTGTCCCCCCACCCCGGTGCTGAGGGCTGGGAGGTGCCTCCAGTGATACTCACACCTCTGTGGACCCGGCTCGTCCCCGTCCTGCTCCACGCTGTCGTAGTCCTCGCGCGCGCGGGCTCGTGAGCCCTCCTCTGAGCAGGGCAAAGGGAAAGGGGTGACTGGTGCCACCATCAGCAGTGCCCCCACCACCCAAACCCAC